TTAAAGGTAACATAACATAACAGCATTAAAACAAGTATGGAATGTGTGGTGTTCATAAAGATGATTTTTTTGTTCTATGTTTGAGCAGGTAAAGGGCATCGGTCAACATTATAAGTCCTTTTTGATTGAACAGCCAAGCCTCTAATCATGTCACATGGAAGGATGGCGTCATAAGGACTCTGTAGCCAATAAGATTCATCATGTCTCATCCAGCCTCAGAGATGTCCCATAGTAGAGGGATCACCATATACAACACCTGTCCTGAAGTCTTCCTTGGTTTCTTTTTTCATGTCTAGCTGGTGGCCGTTCAGCTTTTTATTACAACAATTATAGTAACACATCTTCACACAATGTACAAACATGACACACCATGGCTACCCTTTCCCTGTTGAGCACAGGTTGACAATACAGAACTCAGGGAATGATAAGAACTCTCACAGGAGATGGGAATTGACTTAATTAGCAATCAAGACCTGAGTTCCATCCCCAGAACTTCCTAAAACATAGATAGGTAGATAGATAGATAGGTAGATAGATAGATAGATAGATAGATAGATAGATAGATAGATAGATGATAGATAAGTAGATAGATAGATAGATAGATAGATAGATAGATAGATAGATAGATAGACAGACAGATAGATAGGTGGATAGATAGATATAAATAGATAAAAGAATTTTAAGAATCTGGGTATGGGTAGTAGGTACTTACAATACCAGCATGGGGGTGCCAGAGACTTCAGAACTTTGAACCAAGTCCATTTCCTTAGTCCACAAATCTCTTCACAGGGCAATAAATGTCATCTGAAAATAAAATGAAAGAGCCTCTCTCTGCCTAGAAACCTTCAACCTCCAGTCTCAAGGGCTGCTCTTGAGTCTCACTGAGCTCTGTGGCCCAAGAGCAGGGCTGTCCCTCAGGGTCTGGGCAAGATTCCCAGGTTTTTTCTACATGAATGCTAAGGCATAGCCACCGAAAAGTAGGCACTGCCAGCATGTCAGGATCCAGCCCCATGCCCATCCTGACCCTCATTTCCCAAGGTTTCCTCTCTTATTCTGGATCTGCCTCTCAACAGGAGGCACCAGTGTAATGGTCTACCTGAGGATTTGGCATGGTGGAGGCTGCTGCATGGTGGAGGCTGTTGCATAGCTCTTCAGTGAGCTGCGTTCTCCCTGGGTGTACAAAGGCACCCCGGAGCACCTTTCAGCAAACCTCTGAGAAGCACACGAGGCTCATAGGTGAGTGGTTATGTGTCCTTGAAAGGCAGGGCAGAAAGAGGGATTCGGAGGACGTGGAAAGGGCCACTTACTAGGAATCTGGCTAAACTTCTCACCAGCAAATATGCAAGATTCACATTCCAATTAACCTGCCTAAGACCCGTTTTCCTTCCCAGCTGTAAACATGTGAAATTCAACAATATCACTGTAAATTCCTTTCTCATGGAAAGAACATGCATGCACTCAGACTTTGGCGAAACACTAGTGGCTCCTGGTTTCACTTCGTCAGACTGCAATCCCACCCACATCACCTCCCACAGCTACCCCATAATTTAATTACACTTATCAAAGGAGAGAAAGGGGCATATCGTCAATCTTTTCAGATATCGGTATGGGAAGTCCTTCTTTCTATGTGTTACTTTTATTGGTTAATAAAGAAACTGGTTTTGCCAATGACTTAACAGAGTAAGGCCAGGCAGAAGGAGATAAAGAGAGAGTAGGCAGAGTCAGAGAGAAGCCACGGAGCCACCAGAGGAGAAGACACGAGACAGAGTCAGAGAGAAGCCACGGAGCCACCAGAGTAGAAGACACGAGACAACAGCTGGAAACTTGCCGGTAAGAGATATGAGTGAGCTAGAAATATGCACTCTCCTCGGAAATCATGAGAAAGGTATCTTCCTGACAGCCTCACTGGTGGTAATAAATTGCTTTATTATATTTCATGAGAACACTTTTCTATAAGTTAAGTTGTAGCATCCTCTTGGTCCCATCTGTCAGAACTCAAAGAAAAGGTTCCGTGGCAAGTACAAACACGAGGACGGTAAAGCAGGAGGCACTGCAGACCTTCAAACCAGAGACCTGAGGACATCAAGGCATCCTACTGGCTTTGATTTCTAAAGGCCTAATGCCAGTCTCCATAGCCCGCCTGAGCCAGAACCTTTGCGTCCTGCCTGGTTCTGGTGTCAGGGCAGGTCCTGCTATGACATCACCATGAGCCATTGTGAGGGTTCCAGCCAGCAGATGTGATGCTGTGGCCTGGCCTGGATTTCTCTGGGTGAATTGAGAGGAGCTGTGGAGTGGTGCCCTGTGCGACTTTATTGTTTCTAGCGAGGTTGTGTGTGGTTTTTTTTGTTGGTTTTTATGTGTGCTATGTATGTGTGTATGTGTCGGTGTGTGTAGGTGTGTGTTTACAGGTTTTCTTGTGTGTGTGGCTTGTGTGTGTGTGTGCTTGTATTTGTGTGTGTGTGTGTAGACGTGTGTGTGTGCATGTGTGTGTGTATAGGTTTGCTTGTGTATGTGTGTGGTATATGTGTGTGTTTTGTGTTTAAGACCACTTGTGTGCAAGTACCTGTTTGTGTGTGTGCACCTGTGTTTCTGTGTGTGAATAGGTGTTCCTGGGTGTGAGTGTGAGTGCACCTGTGTGTGTGTGTGTGTGTGTGTGTGTGTGTGTGTGTGTGTGTGAATGCATCCGTGTGTACGTGTCCTATAGGTGCACGTGTGGTTAGGTGTGGGAACACCTGTGTGTGGGAAAGTGCCGACGCCAGTAGCCAGCTTGGGCGTTGTTTCTAAGGTAAGTCATCTACCTTGTTTTCTGAGACAGTCTCTGTCACTGGACTGAAACTGGCCACGTGGTTAATCGGCTGGCCAGTGACTCCCAGAGATTCATTGTGCCAACTCTGATATCAAAATCATTCTGCTGAAGATTATCACAGGAGGTTTCTAGAGATGGGAATCAGGCCTGTTTTGCATGGGCAGTAATTTAACTACAGAACTATCTCCCCAGCCTGTAGCTATTTGTGGTGCTTTGGGTTTGGGTTTAGGTTATTTTCCTGAGAGACAGGGTTTCTCTGTGTAGCTGATCCATGAGTGCAGGGGTCCTGTCATGTCAAGAAGATAATATTTTGCTCTGCTCCTTCTCAACCTCTGGTTCCTACAGTCTCTGGCCCCTTTGCATGGTGGTCCCTGTGCCTTCACAGGAAGGGTAAGAGGTAGACATCTCATTTGGGTCTGAGCACTCCCTTGACACTTGCTCTCAATTCTTTGGTAAGTTGTGAGTTTCTGAGTTAACTATTGCACAAAGTAATTTCCCTGATGATGTCCGTGAGTTGCACTAATAAATCTAAGGATTCGATGGAAGGGTCCACATATAAATGAGAACGTGAGAACATTCCACATCTCTCTTTCTGGGTCTGGCTCACCTCACTTGGTGTAATGTTCTCCAGTTCCATCCATTTACTTACAAATTTCATAACTTCAGTTCTCTTTGCAGCTGAATAAGATTCCATTATGTATAGATATCACATTTTCTTTGGTGCTTTGTCATTTGATGGACACAGCATCTAGGCTGTTTACATAACCCAGCTATCGCGAATAGAGCAGCCCTGAACACGGACGAGCAAGCGTCTGCGGTAGGAAATAGAGCCCCGGAGTGTACGCTCAGGAGTGGGCGAGCTGGATGGCATGGTCGAGCTCGTTCTAGCTCTCTGAGGAACAGCCACACTGATTTCTACAGTGGCTACACCAGTTTGCACTCCCATCCACAGTGCATGAGGGTTTCCATCCCCCACATCCACATCAGCATTTGCTGCCTTTTGTTAATCTTAGCCATTCTGAGTAGATTAAGACAAAATAAATCACTACTACATATATATATTTCTTAAGTCATTTTTGTGTCTTCTGAGAAATCCCTATTCAGTTTCCTATCCCAACATTGGATTGTTTGTTTTTCTTAGTGTTTATTATTATTATGATTATTTAGTTATTTGTATATTCTAGAGGTTTTGAGGGGTTTGTAATATTTTGTTTTGATTTCCAGGTTTTTAGTTTTTATGCAGTTTTGATTGTTTGGAGTCTGTTTGTTTTTTTTAAAAAATTATATTGTTTGGATTTTCTAATATTTTTTCTTATTTATTTATTTATTTATTAAAAATTTCCACCTCCTCCCCTCCTCCCATTTCCCTAACACTCCCCCCATTCTCCCTCCTCCTCCCTCTCCAGTCCTAAGAGAAGTCAGGGTGCCCTACCCTGTGGGAAGTCCAAGGCCCTCCCACCTCCATCCTGGTCTAGGAAGGTGTACATTCAAACAGACTAGGCTCCCAAAAAGCCAGTGCATGCAGTAGAATCAAAATCCGGTGTCATTATCATTGGCTTCTCAGTCCGCCCTCATTGTCAGCCACATTCAGAGGGTCCGGTTTGATCACATGTTCGTTAAATCCCAGCCCAGCTGGCCTTGGTGAGCTCCCATTAGATCAGTACCACCATCTCCGTGGGTGGACGCACCCCTCGCGGTCCTGACTTCCTTGCTCATGTTCTCCCTCCTTCTGCTCTTCATTTGGGCCTTGGGAGCTCAGTCCAGTGCTCCAATGTGGGTCTCTGTCTCTATCTCTATCCATCACCGAATGAAGGCTCTATGGTTATATGCAAGATAATCATCAGTGTGGCTATGGGATAAGACCAGTTCAGGCACCCTCTGATTTTCTATTTTTTTTCATTTCTTTGATCCTTTATATAGTTCTTTGTATATTTTTCTTCTTCAGCAATTAGTGGTATTTGTTCTTGGTGCTGCTGAGTCATGTTCCTCCCTCCTTAGTGACGTGCAGCTGGGTTTGAGTTTCCTTGGCTTTGTGTATGTGTGGTTTTGGTTTTCTTGGTTTTTGTGGCTGTCAGTTACTTGCTGGGATTTTTTTCTATCTTTTCTATCTTTTTTATTATTATCATTTTCATCTAAAATGTCTTCTTTCTTTCTTTTATTTATTCTTTTTCTTTCTTTTAGGTAGCATTTACACTTTGTTGCCTAATATGAGTTCGGATGGTGAAGAGGAGTCTTCAGGGCTCAAGCCTGAGTCCAGCTCCTCTTACAGAGAGAGCTTCCACTGTCAATATATAGTCTTGAAGACCATTGGCTGGGGAGGCTTTGCCAAAGTAAAGCTGGCCTACCACCGCCTCACAGGGACCCCGGTGGCTGTCAAAGTGCTTCGAAAAAGGAAAATGTGGTGCTACCCAGTCATGTCTGAGGTAAATATCATGATGATGATCAACCACCCCAACATCATCTCACTCCTCCAAGTGATTGAGTCTGAAAAGAGAATATACCTAGTCATGGAGCTGGCTGAGGGACAACAGCTTTATCAATACATCCGACAGGCTGGCCACCTGCAGGAGGACGAGGCCCGGGGAATATTCAGGCAAATAGTAAGTGCTGTGAGCTACTGCCATGAGCTTGGGATAGTTCATCGGGACCTGAAACCAGACAATATCATGTTGGACAGGAAGGGAAAAGTCAAAATCATCGACTTTGGCCTCGGCACACAAGTCAAACCTGGGCAAAGGCTAAGTCTTCATTGTGGCACATACTCCTTCGGGGCCCCTGAAATCTTACTTGGCAGACTTTATGATGGCCCCAAGGTTGACATATGGACCTTGGGAGTCGTCTTATATTTCATGGTAGTTGGGAAGGTCCCATTTGATGCTGTCAACGTACGAGAACTGCGAAGGCAGGTTGTGTCAGGGAAGTATACTGTCCCCTCGAACTTGTCAGAAGAACTCCAGGACCTGCTTAGCCGCTTAATGACAGTCAACCCCAGGTTTAGGCCCACAGTGACCGAGGTGATGACACACCCCTGGCTCAGGGAAGACTTGGAGGCTTCACCAAATCCCTGTGAGGAAATAGTCCCCAGCTTGCCTGACCTGGCAATTGTACAAGCCATGGAATATATGGGGTTCCAAGCCCAGGATATCAAAGATTCGTTACGCCAAAGGAAGTACAATCAGACCATGGCATCCTATTGCTTACTGCAAAAGCAGGCTCTCCAGGGGCATGGCTGCACAACCCGGGCTCAGCCTGTGAATCCAGGGCTGACTCCATTCCCTTCACTTGAAGATCCCGCTGCTTTCCCTATAGAACTGAGGAGGAGGGGAAGTGAGCCAGCCCTTGGCACATTACTCAGACAGCCAGCCACTTATGGTCATGTGCCTGCCTATGGCCAGCAGGCAGGTCAAAGAGGAAGCAGACATCCTGCTGGGTCTGCTCTCCCTCTCTGCAGGCCACTCCAGAGGCCATCCACACCGGATCAAGCCCACCAGCGTGCCAAGAGTGCTCCCTGCATTTACTCAACGAGCAACAGCAGTGAGAACACGGAAGACTTAGGCTCCCACGGCTCCTCAGCAGAGGGCAAGCCCACCCACAGACGGGGCCAGCCCAGGGGCTTGAAGGGATGGACAAGGAGGATAGGAAGCGCCCTGATGAGACTGTGTTGCTGCTTTCCCTCAAGGAAGAAACCTCGCCTAGGGCAGAACAGAGTCTCCCCTCAGAAATGAGGCACAAGGAGGGAGTTTGGAGAACAAGCAGCAAGTATGGCCCAGGTATCTTTGTGCTTTGTCCTCCCTGGTCTCCTCTTCCATTACTAACTTCCACATCCCCACCACCCTTCAGCAGACTTACTATCTTCTCTAAGCACCTTATTTTCCCTCCCAAGCCTCTCCCTGCTTCTGCATTTCTCCTCTTCACACTCAATACGAGTGATGTGAACCCCACTCTAAGAGGTTCTCTTGCTGACCCCATCTCTTCACCTGGACTCCACCTCCTCCCAAAGCCAACAGCTCCCACAAGATGAGGACTGAAGGATGGATGGGTTCAGGGACCCTTCCAGGGCCTCCCAGCCCCAGCCCATGTGGCAATCGATCACAAGAGCTGCAGAACAGTCTTAAGTTTTCAAAAGCAACATCACCTCCCATTGGCCTCAAAACTGATAACCAGCCATGTCCGCTAAGCATCCTCGCATAGAGCTGGCTGGTTGTTAAAGACCACTGGTCCTCCTGCATGCATGCACAGTCTTTCACATGCTAATTATGCCTATGTTCCTAAGACCCAGTGATGCACAGATTTTTAGAGAAAACAATTCTAAAAGATGTCTATCAGAGATTTCAACTAGAGAGTAGAAAGAGACATGATATTATAAGGCAAATCTAAGCCCAAGGCAGTAGTCTAAGGAGTGATTTAACCTATTTCATTATTTCTTTTGCCCAGAACAAATTATCTTTTCTCTTTCCCAGTGTTATTGGAAATACTCTATTGTCCTGAGGAGGCACAGAAGGTGATGTCAGACACATGGTGGTCGAGAAGAGACACAGCAGCAGCAGCTGACCCCGTGGTGTCTCTATGGGAACTGTTACTTCTAGAGCTAGACACCATGCGTCAATTGATTAGGAACATGTTTGGTTTAACTAACACCAGTATTCATGGAAGACACAGAGATATTCCTAGGACGGATGTCTTCCTTGGAAGCTGGAAACAGGCAGCTGGGACAAGCAGCACGCTACCTTCCTGATGAGGAGCACCCTCTCCATGATGCTGATGACAGCAATGTAATGAGGAGCATCATCTCCATGCTGATGACTGCAGTGTGATGAGGAACACCCTCTCCACATGATGACTGCAATGTGATAAGGAGCACCCTCTCCACAT